GAGGGGCCAAGTTAGGGGCCAGAGCAGGAGATGGAGCGTCAGGAAAACAATTGCCTATTGTCCTGAGCCAACGCACCTGAACCTTTCCTGGAAGCAGGAGCCAAGTTTCTTGGCATTTGTAGCATCCTGAAAATGGCAGTGTGTGGTTGGAAGCAGAATCCTGGTCTCTCCGAGGCACAGCCAGCGTGGGGCAGGGACAGGAGTGGGGCTGGCCTGGCAGCTGGTACCCCAAGAAGCAAAGTCTGATGAGGTCCTGTCTGCTCAAGTCTGAGGGATCAGGCACCCCCAGCAGGCCTGTAGCTGCAGCCCCTGCAGCCCCAAGAGCCACACTGTGGTCTGGAGTGACCACCCCAGTTGGTTCTCACGTTGGGCCTCCTGAGTGAGAACAGGAGCAAGGGGCTCCTGGGGCCTTGTCACTGCCACCAGCCTGCTTGGCGCCCTCTCCCTGTTCAGCCCTGTTTCGTGCCTATGCTTTTGCGGGCTCTGACACGGTACCTTGGGCCTAAGGACGGGCTCTGCTACCGGGAGTTGGGGACCTGTGCAGGCCTACTGTCACTGGCTTTGCGGTTCCCTGAACTTCCTGCTTTATATTTGAGGCTTTCTGTCATCGGATTAGATGTGGCCTCCCAAGCGCAGTCTTAGGTTTAGGCGTAGGGCATTATTCCACCCACGTGCAAGTTACTGTCATTTGTTGTGGTGATGGCTATCAACGCCTGCCCAGAGGCCCTGCAGCCTAAATTGCTGCTCTCTCTGGCCACGTCTCCCAGAAGCTGGATTTGGAGGCTGGGAAGGGTCTGGAGGCTCTTTCCCTCCAGGGTCTTGGGATCAGGAATGGTGTTTCTAGAATCTCATACCGTGCATATGTACCCCCGCTAAGAAGAGACGGCAGCATTCCCAGGGCGGGCTTTCAGAGCTGGTGGGGAAGGGGGGAGCAAGTTGAAGCTTGCTGAGGGGCGTATATGTGATCATGCCATGCTCTGTTTGAGCTGTCAGCTGCCACCCCTTCCCCAGCTCCTTGACACCTTCGTGGGGACCCAGGCATTCGTGGATGCCCTCAGGAGCACAGGCACCCGCAACCCAGCGTCAGGTGGTGGGCCCAAGCCCACACGGAGCCACCTCCTCCCCATCCTGCGCTGGCTCTGGAGCCGCCGCAGAGCCCCCACCCTGGCCCGTTCCACACATTGCTCTTGTTGGCAAGACGGGCTGCAGGCCTGCTGGGGGGACCCGGGTCACACCCAAACACAGCTCCCCGGGGCCAGGAGCTGCCGGGGCAGCCGGGCAGGCCGAATGTAGAGGTGGAAGGGAGGGAGTAATCCAGGTGTGAGGAGAAAACAGTGTTTCCTCTCACTGTCACACCACTCACCTCTGGTCACCAAAATATTGGGGGCATGTTTCTCCCACCAGCAAAATCTGTAAACATAATGTTTTCCCCGAGTTCTGTGAGCTGTCCTAGCAGATTAATCGAACCCGAGGAAGGAAGCGCTTACTTGTGTTTACTGGTCTATTGTAAAGGATACAATGGAAGAGACAGATGGACACCCAGACGAAGAGGTGCACGGGGTGGCGCCTGTGGGGAGGGCGCGAGGCTTCCCTGCCCTCCAGGGGCACCACCTTCCAGGCACCTCCACGTGTCCAGCTACACGGAAGCTTCCCAAACCCCATCCTTTTTGTTTCTATGGAGGATTCGTTATGTCAGTGTGATTGATTCAGTCACTGGCCATTGGCGACAGACTCAACCTCAGCCCTTCTGCCTACGCCCTGGGTCAGGAGTGGGCTGAAAGTGCCAACTCTTAATCATGGAGTTGGTTCCCCTGGCAACCAGCCCCATCCCGAAGCTATCCAGGAGCCTAAGAGCCGCCTCATTAAAGCAAAAGATGCTCCTGTCACCCAGGAAATTCCCAGGGACTTAGGAGTGATAATTCCAGGCATTATCACTCAGCAAATTACCGAGAGCTCTGAGGTCTGTCTCGGGAACCAGGGGGCAGAGACCAGATATATATTTCTTATTAGATCACAATATCACACAAGGTAATCTTGGCCCAGGCCCTGCTCAGTGCCAGGCGCTCTGACATACATTGTCTCCCTCAGTCCTTCCTGCAAATCCACGAGGTAAGTACAACGGTGCCCATTTAACTAAACACGGAAACTGAGCTCAGTGCAGCGCTTTGTACCGAGTCTCAGCACCAGCTCGAGGTGGAGCTGGGTCCCCACCCTCCCGCGACCTGTGCTGGCCCCACTGCTCCCTGCATGGCCACCTACAGTCCCTGAGGAGGAGGGGGCTCTGTAGGAGGGCATTGCCACCGAAGAGTGTGCAAAGGCTTGCCTCCTGATTTCTTTCCAAGCCTCCTGCTTTCTTTTTCTCCTTTGCTTGGCTTCTCTGACACACTGGCTTTTGCAGGCAACAAGCCTTTTTGGTGACGATTTAGCCCGAGCAATGCGATTCCCTGCCACCCGGAGGAGAGTGGCTGTAAAGGCCCCAGGGCCAGGGGTCAGGAGATCTGAGTGCTGTCCCAAGTCTTGCATATATTTGCTAAGTGGCCTTGGGTAGACCCCTTCCCCTCTCTGGGGTTCGTTCACGCCGTCTGTGCAAGGAGAGGCCGGAGGAACTCCTGAAGGCCTTGCACCCCCAGTGGGTGTAGTTCTGCCAGTCACCTGGTTCTCCCAGGGCCACAGGGATTTTTGTCTTTTGATTTTTAATCCTTTCTTTTCTAATTTTTTATTGTATTAAAATATACATAACATAAAACTTACCATCTTAACTTTTTTTTAAGTGTCTAGTTCAGAAACAGGGTCTTGCTATGTTGCTCAGGCTGGTCTCAAACTCCTGGCCTCAAGCAGTCTTCCCGCCTTGGCCTCCCACAGTGCTATGATTATAGGCATGAGCCACTGCGCCTGGCCAAGTGTGTAGTTCAGTGGTATTAAATACATTCATAATGTGCTACCATCACTATCATCCATCTCTACAACTCTTTTCATCTTGTAAAACTGAAACTCTGTGCCATTAAACAACTCTCCTCTCCCTGTCCCCAACCCCCGCAACCACCATTCTACTTTCTGCCTCTATGATTCTGACTACTCTGGGTACCACACACAAGTGGAATCAGACAGTATTTGTACTTTTACAGCCATTGGGGGTTTATTTCTCTCCTTTTCTCCATCTCCAGAGTGCTGCTGTTCGCTCCTGGCTGGTTGTGCCTCTCACAGGATGTGGGCTACGGTGCGCATGTGGGCATGGGGCCTTTGCCCACGTCCAGCCTGTTTGCGTTTTCCCTCTGGGTGCTAACTGGCCTCTACCTTTGTCTCTGTCTCCTCCTCCTCCGCTCTCGGTTAGCTGACAGTAGGGAAAGTGTCCAGCGGCATAGGGGCTGCAGCTGAAGTCCTGGTCAATCTGTACATGAATGATCACAGACCTAAGACCCAGGCCACCTCTCCAGACCTGGTAAGGACACACACCCCTCAGCCTTCACCCGCAGACACTCGCTCTGGCCTCCCAGGGAGGGTGCGCGGGATGGCCCGGCCCTCTGAAGGCTCCCCTTCTTGTGGGACAAGAGGGGGCTCAGGATGGGCTAGGGCAGAGCCCAGGTTAGAAGGAAGCTGCATTTCCTTAAAGGCAAACCTCACTCTGGTCCCCTGTGGATCATTTCCAAGACAGAGCATCTTCCCTGCTGTCTGGGCTTCTGGGGAACTGCTCAGTAAAAACCCCAGGTGAAGCCGTCGCATAATTGGGTGTCCCTAACTTTCCGTGTTTAATGTCCAACCTGAACAGCCCCTTTGCACTGGATTGAGAAATAAGTAATGGGAAAAACACCCCTTTGATTTGAGTTCTCCCCTTCTCCAAGCTAGGCTACTTGCTGCAATCACCAGTGATTTGAGTTGACAATTCTTTTAGTTTCCTTTTGGCACATTCCCCTGGAATCACCCAGGTGTCCCCCTGCCCAGGCCCACACCCTCCCTCTTGGCATTTAGGAATTTAACTGAGCAGACTTGATGCCACAGGGGCAAGGACATGTCAAACCTCCCCAGTGGGCCGGTTTCAGTGACCTCTCTAGAGGCGGGTGACACTTAACCCCGGGGACAGATCCTGGAGAGAATGTCACTGAGCAGAGACATTTGAGTGATGCCCACTCTGTCATATCAGACAATGTCACTCCCACCCCAAAGCCAGAGCAGCCAGCCTGGGGGCCAGCCCCTCCCAGGCGCACCTTGCTGCTGCCCGCCTGTGTGGGAGTGCACGCGACAGCAGCCCCTGCAGGGTGGGGTCTGTGCCGGGGCTGGATCTTCCCACGCCTCACTCTTTGCTGCAGTGACGAGGGCAGCACACGGAAGCACGCAAGGTCCCCAGGATTTAGTGCGGAATTTCTAAAAGCCTCAGCCTGGCATTTGAAAGCCGAGGTAAGCCTAAGACACCGCTCTTTTCTCCTGATCCCCAGGAATCTATGCGGAAGCCGTCATTCCCCCTGAACCTGGGTGGCAGCAACACCTGTTACTTCTGCAAGAAGCGTGTGTACGTGATGGAGCGGCTGAGCGCCGAGGGCCACTTCTTCCACCGCGAGTGTTTCCGCTGCAGCGTCTGCGCCACCACCCTGCGCCTGGCTGCCTATGCCTTCGACTGTGACGAAGGTAACCCCAGGGGCCAGGGCAGCGCTGGGTTCTGGCCTCGGCCTCAGATGTGGCCTTGGCCTGGGTTCCTGTCCCTCTAGAGGCTCTGGGACACCCAACACGTCCCCAACAGGGAGTGTGATGTCGTCACAAAAGCTGTTCAGAGAAACTAGGAGCTCTTGCTAGACAGAGAGCCTGCCTGGTCTGGGGGAAGGGGAAGTGTTGGCACCTGCAGTATACCAGGCACTGCTGGGCACCTACTGTGTGCAAAGGGCTTTATGTACATTTTCTCATTTAGCTTTACCGCCGTGCCTTGTCCTGGTGCGGCCAAGAAAATCAAACCCGATAACCTGTGTGACATGCTTGGCACCACACCTGGCATGTGATAAAGGTTTGCATTCATCATGGTATATTAATATTCTTCATAAAGTGTGTATTGTAAAAATAACCAGGATAATAGCATCCACTCTGGTAAGTGGCCTCAGAGAGATCATTGAGGAAAGACTTGTGCTCATTGGAACGAGTGACTGTTTTATGGTTTTCACACTTATATTTGCACTGTCATGTATGATGAGAGGCAGCGTAACATGGGGCTCTCGCTTACATAGCCTCAAACTGAACCGCCCGGGTTCAAACCCAGCCTGCACCCCTTACTAGCCACATCATCCTGGGCCTGTTGCTTAACCTCTTGGTCCCTCAGTTTGCTCATCTGCAAAATGTGGTTAACAGTAATGCTTGGCTCTTCAGGTTGTTGTGAGGCTTGACGAGTTCATTCACACGAAGCATTTAGAACAGTGTCTGGTATACAGTAAGTCCAACCTAAGTTTCCCTATTGGTATCATTCTTACTGTCACCATTGTTACTAGCACAGCAGTGAGCAAGGAAGACTTTTCTGGAAGGTTCCTGGTGGCCCTGGGCAGTGGCCAGTTTCCTGGCGTGTGCCCTGCATGGGTCTTTCCCTCCCAGCACTGCCGCCACTTGCTCTCAGCCTTCCCCAGAAAGGAGGACCGAGGGTGTCGATACTCACGGCTGTCCATTTTGCTGCCTGGCAGCTGGTCTTGTAAAGAAACTTGGCCTCAGTCTGATTAAGATTTTGCGTGTGTGTTGACTCAATTATTATAAAGGATACAGAGGAACAGCCGGAGGGAGGAGACGCATAGGGTGAGGTGTGGCAGACGGGGCTCAGAGCTCCCGTGCCCTCTCCAGGTGCGGGCCCACCACGCAGGAACCCCCACGTAGCCAGCTATCTGGAAGCTCTGCTTGGCTTGAGGGTTCTAGCTCCATCCCCAGACACCGCTGCCTCATCTCAGCACCTCTGTTTTAAGGCAGGTGACAGAAGGTGCTGCCCAAGTTTGAGTTATCCTGGGCTTAGGTCCACTGTTGGTGTTTTCTGACTTGGACAGTGGCAGGTACTTCGGCTTGTGTCTACCTGGTGCTGGGTCGCGGGAGAGAAATCTTCGTGCATGTGTATGTGCACCTCTTTTTACAGGCAAGTTTTACTGCAAGCCTCACTTCATTCACTGTAAAACCGGCAGCAAACAACGGAAGAGACGGGCAGAGTTGAAGCAGCAGAGAGAGGTATGTTTTATCTCGAGAGTGCGGTGAGACAGGGAAGACCCCTTGAGAAGAGAAGGTTTTCCAGGGTTCCTCAAAGTTAGGCCACCTCTTTTGCCCTGGAGGGATGGAAATACTCACGTATAAAGAAGAGAGCCTCTACTTCCTGCTGTGGATGGGTCCTCTGCCTCAGCCTGTTCCAGATGCCAGCTCCCAGGAGAGGCTGTGCTGGCTTCTCACAAGAAGCCCAGAAGGAGCTTGCTCATGTGCCAGGGGTGGGACACTGGGCTCAGCCACGCAAAGGCCACGTGGTCCCTCTGTGCCTGGGGCCCACCTGGCCTCAGGCTGCTGCCTGCAGGAATGCCTGGCATGAGGTTGACCGTCTGTGGTTTCCAAGTCCTTTCCCAGGCTCTTGAAGTCAGCCTGGTGACCAGCCCACTGAGTTTATAGATGATTTGAGGTAGCACTCGCCCTGGCGGCTCTTCACAAATACCTTCTCTCAGGTTTGATTAATCACCCACCACCAGCCACGACCTACAACTTAAAATTTTTCTCTAATTACTCAAGTTATATAGGATCCTTATAGAAAAATGGGAAAATAAAGTATACCAAGGAGGAAAGTTATATCACCTATAATTACTCTATCCTGAGAAAACCACAATTAACGTATTGTAATATCCCCTTCCAGACTTATTCCCGTGCGAATATATTTTAACCTAGATGGAATCCTATCTCTACAGTTTTATAACCTTCTTTTTTTCACTAACAGTATATCAAGAATGATTTCCCATGATGTTAAAAATTCTTTTGAAGCATAATTTTTGATGCCTGTAAGAGATTCAATTTTATGGATGGTCAATATTTTACTTCACTGGTCCCGTATTATTGGACCTTTATGTTTGATATTTTTATCTCGCAAATATTGTTACAATGCACATCTTGGCACATGTATTACTGTCTGTATGTTCAGTTATTTACTTGGTATATATCATTAGAAGTGAGATTGCCGATCCAAGGGAGTATATATTTAGAAGAATCGTGACCGCCGTGGTCACTTTGCCTCCCAGGAAAGTTGCGCCCCTGTGCAGCAAGCGCTTCAGCAGCGAATGGGGGGCTCGCTGCAGAACACAGGGTTTGCCAAGTTCAAGAGTTTTTGGCTCTCTTGGTCTGCTTCCTTGGAGCAGTCCTCTGTGAGACCCAGGGACTAAACGCCGTCATTTTGATCTCGTTCTCAGGAGGAGGGGACGTGGCAAGAGCAGGAAGCCCCTCGACGAGACACTCCCTCGGAAAGTTCTTGCGCCGTGGCCGCCATCAGCACGCCGGAAGGCAGCCCCCCAGGTATCTCCACCTCCTCCTTTAGGAAGGCGCTGAGCTGGTCTCTCAGGCTGCCCAGGGCCCTGCTCGACCTTCCCGGGAGCCTACTTAACTGGATGCGGGGAGTGCTGCGAGCCGCCGGCCTCCATTTCAGGGACAATGCCTCCAACTACTGCTACACCTACGAGCTGCTGAGCCTCGGGCTGCCACTCCTCTGGGCCTTCTCTGAGGTCCTGGCAGCCATGTACAGGGAGTCCGAGGAGTCCCTCGAGACCATCCGCACCTGGGTGCTCAGGTGCCTCCCGGTCAAGCTTCGGTGAAGCACCGGCTGCCCCCAAGTGCCTTAACGTTTCCAGAGTTAGTCGGCAACGTGTCTGTCGTTCGCCAAGGCTCTGGCCACGAGGCCTAGCGTTCTTTAACCAAATAGCTCAAAGCCAAAGCGTGTCACGTTGGCCACCTCCATCTGGCCTTGTCAGGGTGAACATCGACTCACGGTGCTAGGGCCAGGGACAACATGAAGGATGTTTTTTATAGCTTTGTACTTTTTTATACCAAAGCGAGCCATATTTCTGGGTTTACATTTCAATTTTTAACTTCTGATAAGCCAAGAGAAAACTTTTTTGTCTATGAGCGTCAATTTTTCTAAACACAAGTTTGCAGTTTATAGCTGGTGTCACACAAACCCACCAACATTACAGTGTGTTGTAATAGCCACTGCCTGCAAAGTTAACGATGGGGATTTTATAGACACGAAAGTGAGTGTGCCGTCTCCTCACCAGTGCCTTTCTACTTATGTACCCGGATGTCACTGGTCAACAGCAGGCAATTTCTTGCAACATGGAAGTCTAATTATTTTAGAAGAAAAGCGTTGAGAACAAAATAGAATTAAACCTACAAAAGCACATAGCATATGTAGTTGGCTGTTGTCTGTCCTCCCAGAGGGAGGAGGACTGTTTTGTTCCCTTGTTTTGACATAAAATAGTAGGTTGAAGGCTTTATCCCCCATACCAAATCACAGCCAAATGACACAGAACCACGAGTTTCAACCAGATTGCCACAAACATACGTTTTCCCTTCCCACTAATGGGCACTGCAGAGGAAGCCTGTTGGATTTGACCGTAGAGAGCTCCGTCAAGCTGATGCAATGCTGAAGACGAGATATTTCAGCTGGTGGCATTTTAACGCCCAGAGCTGTCCCTACTGGGTCCCCCAGCCCAGGCTGCAGGCTGAGCCAAGGCCAGTCAGGGTGCATGGGGGTCAGGCTGAGTGGAGTGGAAGACTCTGCCCTCTCACGTGGTGTCCTTTGAGATTGAGGGCACTGCTAGCACATCAGGCTATTGCAGGGAAATGTGGCCTGTCCACTGAGCATTGCCTGTGGATATCCTGGCTGCTTAGCGGCTCCCCGGCCAGGCGCACGTGGTCAGAACAGTCAGAAACCACTTTCTCGCTGCCCTGGCAAAGGAATGTGTCCGACCTCCACGAGGAAGCTCTACTGTATCTTGACTGGCAGGGAAGGCTGGGAGTCAAAGCTGTTTATTGACTGACCCAAAGGAAGTTTGCCCTAGTAAGGGCATAAACGAGCATCAGGCCTGCCTACATTCTCCACCCTGAATAGGGAGAGCCCTTGGCTTGTCCCCACGCCACTCTGCCTGGACATGCACAGCTGCAGGGTCTGGTTGAACAATCAGGGGACTGAGAGAGAAAGGCCTTCTATGGCGCTCAGTGTATCCGGATTCGCTGGGCCTGAGATAGCTCTACGCTGTTGTTATCACTGGAGATTCTTCTAGATTAACTGAGGAGGGGCCTCGTGTGGGTTAGGAGCCAGAGCTCTCGACAGCTTTGAGATGACAGGTTTCTATAGAGTGGGAAGAAAGGGTGGTGAGTTTCTACAAACACTTCTCTGAAATCCTTGAGAAAAACAGGGGAATGGCCTTGGCCAAGTCTGTGGGAACCGGCGCCTCCATCCTTGTTGGAACTGTTCTCAGTCCGATGACTCGCACTGTGTTTTTTCCAATTTTTGCTGGGATTTTAATGTTCAGTGTGCTAGGCGGAGCCCTTGATTCCTTTTGTGTTTGATTATAGAGAGTAAATTCTCGAGGTGATGATGTGAACAGCCATGTTATTGTCATCATAATCAGCTCAGGGTCAGCTGAGATGTTGTGTGGAATGTTCTATGAAGGCAGAGTTGGAATCTCTAAGAATGTCATGTATGGCCATAAGGAGACTGGTTTGAGTCACTCTGGTGAGACGGGGTGTGCCTAGCAGAAGTCTGAGATTTTTGTAAAATATGTTCTGAGACCTCGAACCTTCCTGGTGGATGGTACCAATATGCGTGGGTGGATCCCAGAGGGAGATGCCTCTAGGCCTCCATGGCATATTTGAGAGTGAGTAGGAGACACTGGAGGACAAGGGGGGCAGAGGGGGAGGTCCCGAGGGCATTTGTAGCTCTAATTGGAGTGCAGGGTGGTGTTGGCAGTGCGCAAACTGCATGTGTCCCCCCCTGTAATTAAGTAACTGGTCACTACCAGAAAGGTTCATCTCTCTTAAGCAAGCAGTGACTTGTTTGTGGTAGGTTCCCCTTTTTGTAACGATTGCCTTATTTTCAACTCCGATGCCTTCTCGCATTGTCATTCGTTTTCCTTTTGTCCCTCACTAAGTTCTCTTTTCTGTCTTTCTCTCTCTTTCCAAACTTACACTGTGGCCGTCAGTGCATTTCAGCCTTCCAGTGCTACACCCACTTCTTGGCTGACACACTTCTGCTCTGAGGTGACTGGTTTTCTTCCAATTTCCAGAGAGTGGTACTAACCCCTAACCCGCTTTTCGCACCCCGTCTTCCCCGCCGGTGGTGCTGGTTGCGCTAACTGTGAGTGTCTGGCATCCTAACGGACTCATTCAGTGGCATGGTCGGTTAACAACGAGGGGTGGTGTTCAGCTTGAGAGCCGTGTTCTGCCTGCCCTTCCCCTGGAGCCGGCAGTCTGGTCCACACCAAGTGCATGCCCCGCCTCTCCTCTGTCCCCTGGGCCGGCCTGCCTGCATGCTTTTCCAGATGTGCCTGCAAAGCCACTTACCTTCTTGGGAGGGTCAACCCTGACGGTGAGACAGTACCATAGGGAGGGATCTGTCCCATTGGAAAAGAACACTTCTGTCTAGTAGTCTCTGAAAAAGCTCATGCATACCAGCATCTTCTTAAATTGGTTCTAATATAAAGATTAATAATGTCATTGATCAAAACCCATAGGTGGTTCTTTCTGGAGGGGTTTTAAAAAAACGTTTACTCCCGGGCTTCATCCCAAGCCTGACCCGTGCTCTGTACTTTGAACACATAATCGCAATAACTCCAGTAACTCCTCTTTCTGTTGCAACCTGCACTATAGATCTGAAGGTTTTGCTGTGGCTTTTCTTATCTCCCTTGGCTCATAAAGCCCCAAATGATTCAGGAGCTTCAAACAGAGCAATCAGCACCCCAGACATGGGTGTCTTTGAGAAATGACTCAGTTCAGCCTCAAGGCCTGGAGCCACCAGTTTAAAGGCCCCTGTGGCTCTGCTTAAAACACACATTCTGCTGACTCATTTACCTGGAGCAGCAGGACAGTCAACATGCTCTTAAAGAGAAACCACTCGCCCAGCACAGTGGAGCTGTGGTCGGCCAGGAGGCCTTGCGGTCTCAGGTCCTGCATGTGGTCCCGAGCCATCCTGCCCCCCAGCCTGTCTGCCCGGTGCTGCATGCTGCACCCCTCGCTGCGTCCATGCAGATCCTGGCCAGTACGAAGTCGTTGCTCTTGTCTTATCTTCTCTTGCAGAGCCTCCCTCCCTTTCTAGAATGTCAACCAAAGAGTGGCCTCCTCCCCTCTCAGCCTCCTCTCTAGCTAGGCTCCCAATCTCATCACAACGCATGTCTGTGACCTTTGGTGATCATTCACAGTGCCACACGAAACCCTGTATTTTGCACACAGCAAAACAATGTTTAGCTTTATTTATGGTATTTGATGCTGTAAATGGAAATAAATATGGTTCTTTATAAAGCTCATTGTTTCCTCTCTTCTTTGCCACAGAGGCTTCTAAACTCTCAAACACAGGGATTGGTTGAAGGAGGTCTGTTTTCCCTCAACTGCTGGTGAGACTTGCACTTGCGGTGACACAGGGCTCTCTGGGTCTGCGCTAGGGCATTCTGAAAAGAAATATTACCCAGGGGTAATATTTGGAAAATGTCACCAACACTCCTGGGCCAGGCTTTGGGTTCTCTTTCCTGAAAACTAATCATACCTTGCTGTTCTAGAGGCTGGGCATCATGGGTGAGGGTCATGTCCCCTCAGCTGTTGGAAACGGACCGTATTGACAGCAGCCTGCACCCATTTCTCCAAACACCCAAGCGAGGCTCTATAGGAGAGCTTTACCTGTGAGCCTTACGCTAATTGGCTCCTGCATAGCAAGGTTGGTCTCGAGCACCTCACATCCAGCTGAGTGATGGGTGAAAGGTGAGGAGGAAGGACAGGATGGCAGTCTCGGGATGGCAGTGACCATGGTGGTGTGCTCATCGACGCAGAGCGGTTTGCCATCTTGAGGGAGCTTCCCTGCCCCTAAAGGCTCAGGGCATTCATCATTTTGTGCTGTGAGCTCTGCCCACAGAGCTACTCTGAGTACAGCACCCATGGCAATCTCTGGCCCAGCTCCAGGATGAATTCAAGGGAAGGATTTGGAGTCTCCAGCTAGCCTGGACAGTGCCAAAGAACTCTGGTCCTCAGCCTCCCCAGGGTGGGATGGCTGCCACTGCCTGGCTGGGTGCAGCTGGACTTCTGACACTGGATGAAAAGTCACCTATGAGCTTCACAGGTGCTGAGTTGGGCAAGTGACTCATTCCTTTAAGCGCTTGTTTATGTAACAATTGCTTTGTCCTAGGCATTAATTCTAGGTCCTAGGGATATAGCAGGAAACCACACACAAAGTCGTTGCACCTCCCTGCTTCTTAGAGAGTATGTATCTTAGTGTTGTTATACTAGATCTGATTTATTTGTTTATTTGTACATGCACTCATTTGTTTATTCAACTATGTAATATTTACTGAGCGTCTACTAGGATTTGGGAATACAACAGGGAAAGAAGCAGACAAAAATCCCCACTCTATGGAGCTTACAGTTGGGTTTTGAGTTTTTTTGTTTGCAGTTGGGATGAAGCAACATTGTCAAAGGTATGGCACCCAGAGAAGTGCTTCACCAACAAAGGGTCCCCCAGTCACAAAGTTTGAGAAATGTTTTATGCCAGCCTTGCCAATTCTCCCAAATCTTGGAGACTCACAAGATTCATTAGCATGTTAAGTCTCTGCGGAGTCTAGACGAATTTTAATTAACTTTGTTCAAGTCAGCTTTCCCACACTTATTTGAAAGTTTTGGTTTGGTTTAGTTTGGGGCTTTTTGGATATTATAGTCTACACAAACAGTGTTTTGTAAAATATTCTTTAATCCAGAAACACTGGATTAAAGACGTGAAATTTTAAAAGTAAAGTAATAGAATTAAATGTTAAATAGAATTAAATATTGATTAGATCATGGGGTGATAACTTTCTGAGCTGGAATCTTCTGATAGAAAAAATTCACATAGGAAAAACAGGACACAAATCTGATTGCATAGATTTTTAAAACATAATATGTAATAATAAAAATAAAAATGTTAAATAGGCAGTCAGACAAGGGGAAAATATGAATTAAATGTGATAACAAGGAAGTTCATTGTCATCATATTTTGAAAGTTCCTTTAAAATAGATGTTGCCAGGCACCTCGCACAGCGTAGGTGATCAGCTAATAGTTATTGATTAAAGAGTGAATAAAAAATAGGCAAAGGCTATGAATAAGCAATATATATGTAAGCAAATTTTAAAAAGTAAACACTGAAAAGAAAAGTCGAGCATTTGCAATACTCCTATGGGCTTTTAAATGAATATGAATTAATTATGCTGCACCTGCTGAATTAGTAAATAAAAAAAGTGAAGTAAGAAAAAGTATGAACTTAGTCACTAGTATTGAGCAGAAAGTAAACCAGGAGAATCTTTTTTTGGAAAGGAATATGGCAACAATTATTAAGATCCCGAAAAGTGCTCTAACTTCTTGGCCCAGTAATCCCACCCTGGGGAATCCACCCTAAGGCAATAATCCGGCAGAAGAAATAAACCTCTGTGCAATTTGAATATTGCAGAGCAAGTAAGCCAGCCAGAGTGGGTGGGCTGTTCTCCTTTACTTCTCTAAACACATTCACTTTTACAACTTTCTTTTTAAAAAGATCTTAGTAAGTAAAAGAAGTTACCACATCTTTTATTGCCCTCCAGCTGGCCGTTACCCCGTGGAGCATTTTCTCTGTGCTGAGCACTTTATGTGCAGAGCTTGGGTAGTTCTTCCCCTCCTGTGGCAACCTTGCAGTCAGTACTGATATTAAACCAGCCCCTCCCTCCCAAAGAAGTTCCCTGATCCAGGGGAGGTGAATCTAGAGCAACATCTTCAACTGTGAGGGGGTGGAGAGTCCCAGGCCCGGGAGTCAGGTGCCTGCTCTAAGGGAAGCTTGGTGCGTGGTGAGGGCCTGGACTTGCCCACAGACCCGGCCTTGACTGCCCGCACTCTGGACTGAATGGCACTGGGCGTGCCCCTCTGTGAACCGGGACTAACCACGCCTGTGGCGTGGGGTTCTGCAAAGGTGGAGTCGGCGAGTGCGCCAGCCCGGGGCCTGGCACTCAGGGCGGCGAGAGCTCTTTGCCGAGTTCTAGAACACGTTCTTCATCTCGTACAGCAAGGAGTGGCCCTGGGAGGACTTTCTCCGGGCATTCTAGATCAGCTGGGGCTCAGGACGCCTGACAGAACATCTCAGGCTGGGGACTAGACAGAGGTCCCAAGTCACACTGGGTGACACCACCTATTTTTCTCCAGCTTTGTGATCCCCCAGCCCTCTTGAAGGCAACCAGCCACTGGCCTTCGGACACCCAGGCCTCAGCTCTGGGGCTCCCCTTCCCACTCCCCCAGCTGCCTGCAGACTTTAGTTTTTGCTCTAGTGAAAGAGGGAGTGTGCGCTCTGGCTCTTTCCAGCTGCCCACCCCGATGTCTACTGGGCATCTCCCTCCCGATGTCCACCTCCAACTCCTGATTTTCCCCTGAAACAGGCTCTACCCTCGCCCTCTGCAACTCTGGAAACCTTGAGTCCCCTCTTCTTGATGCCATTCTTGACTCTTCTTTCTCTTGGCCCCGCGCCCCACCCATTGGCAAATTCCGGGAACATCCAGAACCCGCCCACATCTCACCACCTCCACGCTCCCCGGCCTCAGCCCCTGTCATCTCTTCCTGGCTCATTGCAGTGGCCTGTCCGAGGCCTCCCACTTCTCCCTTCAACACAGCAGTGAGGGTGGGCCCTTTAGAGCTCAAACCAGGCCTCCCCTCTGCTCGCAGCTCCCCAGCGGCTCTCCAGCCCACTGCACAAGTCAGGGCTCTGCAGGGTCTGGCCCCCGTGCTCTGACCTCCCCTCCCGCCTCTCTCCCTCCCACACGCTGACCCAGCCACACAGGCCTCCTCACACACCAGCTCACTCCATCGTAGAGCCTTTGCACTGGCTGTTCCCTCTGCCAAGAACACCCTTCCCAGTACCCACATGGCTGAACCCGTCTGTTATTCAAGTCTGTTCACAAGTCCCCCTCAGTGAGGTCTGCTTTAGCACTGCACCCCACTCCCAGTCACCCTGCTCCCCCTTACCCGACTGGACAGTGTTTCTGTCGCATTTATGTGTAATTCACTAGTTTAGTGTGTGTGTCGTTTAATCTGTTTCCCCCTTGCCTCAACGTAAGCTTTGTGGGGGCGGGATCTCTGTTTGTTCCGAACGCTTATCTAACCCTGACAGGTAGAACAGTGCTCTGCACATAGTGGGACCTCTGGCCTGGACCTCAGCCTGGGGAGCGCGTGGCCATCTGAGGCTGGGGGAGGCCTGGCTGGCGTCTGGCTGTGGTTCAGGAGGGAGCCCTGGAGGGAGAGAGACGACCTTGTGTGTCCTGCTGCCTCTGCAGAGCCTTTTGATTGTGAGAAGGGAGTTTCGATTTTGCTTCTGAGGGGCGTCACCCTTGCATACGTCTCAGGGCAGAGGGGGGCCACACAGTGGCAGGTGGGGCTTGGACGCCCCTCCCAGGGACAGACCTGAGGTTGGTGGCAGAGAACAGATCTGGGGGGCATGATGGCTTTCAGATACCAAGGCCTGGGCCACCGGCCTAAGACATATCCTCTGTCACCCTCTCACTATCCCCTGCTCTGGGGTCCTCACACAGGAATCCGGTGGCAGGTCTGAGACGGGGATGGGGTGGTGAATGCTCTCCCACCACAACCTAGGTGGAGGGTGGGGCCCCCACACCAAGGCATGTGGGTGGCTCGATGTGGCTTTGACCTCGTACGGCTAGTCATCCTGCAAGTGCCTGTAACTGTGACCAGCAGAGGCTGCCTGCCAGCCACAGGGAGCCAAGGAACGGGGGACCCACTCCCAGATAGGGAGGCTGACTCTTCCATTGGCGGGGCCTAGAAGTGCTGGAAGATTAGGTCTCCTCTCTTCCCAGCCCCAGCCCATACCAGGCCCCCAGGCCAGGGCACTACCCCTGGCTGTGGGGACGCCACCAGGGACTCATGGCAGTGCCTGCCACCCCCATCTACACTAAGGTGGGCTGTACAGGGATAGTTTGCTTAGCACTGGGGTCAGCTGCTGCCCCGGCCTGGGGTGTGAACAGGAGGGAAGGACAGTGGCCCCAGGCTACTTCCTTCCTGCTTTACCGGGTTGCTGTTGGGCCTTCCCAGAGACTGAGAGTTGTCCCTGTCCACCTCATTCGGAGAAACCCTGGTGTAGGGCCTGACTGTGCCCAGTTGGAGGCTCGGAGCTGGCCAGCCAGGGTGCCTGTTAGTGGCAGGGGAGAAGAGGGAAGAAAAGAGTCAGCGACCAAGAACTAAGGCTTCAAACCTGCTGGTGTTAGCAAGAATCCAGCCTCCTGCTGCTCTGGAGCCTGCAGGGATGCAGGGAAAATA